TCCGCCCCCCCCCACCCCGCACCTCTCCATGGACACCCCAGGGTGCTGGCTGGGTCTCCCACCACATTGGGTGCTGTTCATTAGAGCAGGTGATGTCAGTCCCCAGCTGCCACCTCACTCCGCAGCCACAGACTCAGAAGTGTCCTGTCCCCCTGGTGCCCCAAGGCCCTTTGTGGCTACTGAGGGCTGATCTATGCATAGACCCCAGAGGCAGAGGCTGGGTCAAGGCCGCTGGCTCTGCTAGAATGAACGACTTCTCCTTTCGGCAATGCTGCACCCCTGGATGAGAAGGGGCCTTCTCCCTCCCCCACACCACCACCACCACCACCACCCCCCCTACCACCACCCCCACCACCACCACAATGTCCCAGGTGAAACTCCACAGGCCTCATCAGCCTGACCGGCTCCCACGCCCACCCCCATCTCCCGCACCCCACCCCCTCTCAGGGAGATCCGTGACCTACAAACCCTTTATTAGCTCTTTCTGCTCCATTTAACTACACAAATGGCTTGGTCACAGCTGACTGGTCCCAAATTTGCCAGTGATTTTCTCGTAATTTACCGTGGCTCAGTCCCCTGTAATACAGGTAGAGGAGGCATATTTGTTCCCGAACTCCCCTCCCGGGGTTAATCGTGCGCAGAACAAAACTCCATTTGAGCCACTTAATGATTGCATTTCCTCCCTAGGTGTTGAAGGAGCAGCGGCCCTAAGACGAATGCAGGTCTCCCCCCCCTCCCCAAACTCCAGGTGTTTGTGGGAGACGGGCAGAGCTTCTGCGCTCCTTAACTGTTCCTCCCAGCTCATAGCGGAAAACCGAAGGTCTTTGCTTCCTGGGCTCTTCCTCTTGGCAAGTACCTGAAGCTGGGTCCCGTGCACCTCTCGCCCCTGAGACGCCCTTCCTGGCCAGCGTGTCAGGCTCCGCTCCTGCCCTCCAGGTCCTCCAGCCAGGTTTCCTGGGGTTATTTTGCGCCCGCCTGTATCTCCCAACCTGTGCGCTCACCTGGACTAGCCACACCTGTGCGCTCACCTGGACGAGCCCCACCTGCTCCCCTCTCGACCTCCTCTCCTATTCTCCCCACCACACCCTGCCTCCTTCCTGTGGGTTTTCCCTTTCCTGGGAGACCCCTCCTTTACTGCCAGAGCCTGGGGAAACCTCGGCCTAAATGTCACCTCCGCTGGGAAGTTGTTGAGTTTTCTCTCGAGCAGAGAAAACCACTCCCCGCCCCCCCCCCCTTGCGCTGCCATCTATACTCTTTCCTGTTTGTTTTCACACCACGTTTGACTATTTGCTGGCCTGTCCGCCCGCCCCTCTTCCACGCTGAGCTGCTTGGGAGTGTGGCCGAAGACGCACCTGCTACCCTATGACCCAGCACGTTGCTGGGTGCAAATGCCCACTCCGTTTTGCTTGAATGAATAGCTCAGTTCATGTACGTGAATGTGAACTGACTTCACCATGAAACTAAGACACGCAATGGCCTTTCTACACCCTGCAGCACGCACCCAGAGAGACTAGCTCGCCTTCCGGAAACCCTTTCGCATGCAAAGGGTGCCACCTGATGGTGTCTGGAGAAGCAGCCTCTGAGTTGGGAGAGTGGAGAGGGCTCTGCCCCTCTAAGGCAGTGGTTCTCAACCTTCCTAATACCGAGACCCTTTAATACAGTTCCTCATGTTGTGGTGACCCCCGACCATAAAATTGTTTTCGTTGCTACTTCATAACTGTAATTTTGCTACTGTTATGAATCGTCATGTAAATATCTGATATGCAGGATGTATTTGTTACAATTTGAACATAATTAAAGCATAGTGATTAATCACAAAAACAATATGTAATTATACATGTGTTTTCCGATGGTCTTAGGCGACCCCTGTGAAAGGGTCATTCGACCCCCAAAGGGGTCGCAACCCACAGGTTGAGAACCGCTGTAAGTAGTGGTGAAGGAGCTCAGCAGCCCTAGAACTCCGGCAGCCTGCGCGCCAGCCACTCCTTGCCTGCGAACTGAAGGGTCCCGGGTTCGATTCCGGCCAAGGGCACACGCCCAGGTTGTGGGCTCCATCCCCAGTAAGGGGGCGTGCAGAAGGCAGCCAATCAATGATTCTCTCTCATCATTGATGTTTCTAACTCTCCCTCTCCCTTCCTCTCTGAAATTAATAGAAAAATATTTTTTAAAAAAAGAAATGTTCAAAGTTCTTCAGAAAAGGGGAAAGGCTATAGGTCAGAAACTTGGATCTCCATAAAGTAAGGAAGCGTGCTAGGGAAGGCACAAACCAACACCTGAGTGAAACATACAAGCCACACTTACCTCAGGAAATCCCTCCGGTCTCAGTCCACCCCAGTTCTCTCCAGCGCCCCTCCTAACCTTCCAGGAGCACTCAGCATGGTCTTCCCCCAGCGCTAGGATGAGCTGTATCCTGTCACCCAGGCCTGAACGCTGTGTCCCCAGAGGCAAGCCATGAGGTGCTCAGTGTCTGGTAAATGTAAGAATGAATGAATGAATGGATGAATGAATGAATGAATGAATGGCAAAACACTGATACCAGACACCAAGATGGTGGGTAAATAGCATGTCTCTTTATTAGCAGTTCACTGTGAATATTCCAGTGTTGCCACTGTCACAAGGAAGGGCTCGTCCACTGGATTCTCTCTGTCCAGGTGTGGTTGCTCCTCAGGTCAAAGAGGAGGTGAACACTCTTCTTACACAGGCTTCCCCTTGACCCTGAAGGACATCAACCTGGGAAGCAGGGAAATGACGACAGAAATGATCACAAAGGACAAGATGTGCGATGGCTCCTCCTTCAGAGAGCTGGACGCAGAGAGCGGGGAATCCATGTTAGAAACAGGTGGCGGTGTGTCGGGCGGAGCTGGGACGGAAGCCTGGCTGCTTCAAACTTCAGAAGCCCCTGCAAGCACCTCAGATTCTTCCTCTCAATTGATATTAGCAAACCACTGACACGGTGTGTGGCACAGGCTGAATGCCACGGTCCTCAAGGCAACCTTCCGAAGTCTGAGGAAACTGAGGCACAAAGCCATAAAGCAACTCGCCACGGGGGAGCTGGACTGGAACCCAGCGTCTGCTCCCAAGACTTGGCTTACCCTCTGCCATCTGCATAATGGGCATGAACAATGCCCCCCTTTTAACGTTGTCTTAAATCAGATGAGAACTCTTGACTAAGTGCCTTGTGCAGAAGCCGCATATAGTAAATGCTCAATAAATGCCGCGTTACATCTCCGTGGTCTTCCTTTAAGCTCATCGGGGGTTAGCTGAGTCAAAATCACTCCTCTACTCCGCCCTGCCCCCTTCTCTCTCCCTCCCCCCCTCCATGACAGCCAGCACAGTCTTTCCCTCCTGGCAGGAGCACAGTAACCATCTCCTGAATGGATGGTTTTCCACCTTCCAGAGCCACATAAACAGCCATGTTGTGACCCCTGCTACCAACTGCAGGCCAAGAGGCCACGTGACCCAAGTCATGGCCCTACTTAATGGCAGGGCCCAAATGCGTGCATATTCTCTCCTGATTCCAGTGCCCTGCGATCTTGTGGTTCAAAATGGGGTCAGCAGTGGCACTGCCTGAGAGCATCAGAAATGCAGACCCACGGGCCTCGCCACAACCTAACACCCCATCTCAGGCGGTCCCCAAGCCTGTGCACAGGTGAGCAGCTCTGGATTGTGACACTAGGGTTAAAAGAGGCAGAGAGGCCAGACTGAACTTGACTTTAAGGCCTTCCAGAAATCTAATGACTAAAGTCCAAGGAATGGCAGCATGAGAGATCCCCTTGGTCTCTCCCCCTGAAATTTCAACAACTTGAACCACGATAACTCAACAAAGGATTCCCCACTCAACATACAGGCACACCTGAGCGATCCGTGCATTGAAGCTACCATACGACCCAGCAATCCGTCTTCTGGGTACATTCCTGAAAAACCCGAAAATGTGTATTCACAAAAATATATGCACCCCTGTGTTCACTGCAGCCTTATTCATGGTGGCCAAGACATGGAGACAACCAAAGTGTCCTTGGATAGATAAAGAAGATGGGGTACATCTATACAATGGAATATCAGCCAGCCATAAGGAAAGACGAAATACTGCCATTTGCGACAACATGGATGGACCTTGAGAATATCATGCTAAGTGAAAAAAGTCAGGCAGGAAAAGTGAAGAACCACATGCTTTCACTCATGTGAGATATACAACTGAAACGCATGAACACGGAGAGCAGCGTGGTGGTTGTCAGAGGGAAGGGGGTGGAGGGGTGATGGGGGTAGAGGAGGTCTAATATATGGTGATGGAAGATGGTCTGACTTTGAGTGGTAGCCACAGAGTGCAATATACAGATTATGTACATAGAAATGTGCACTTGAAACCTATAGGATCATATTAACCAATGTCACCCCAATCAATTTAATTTTTAATAATTTGTTTAAAAAGGAAATTTAAGGGAGGTACTGCGGGAGCCTAAGGCAGCTAGTCTAGTACCTTCTCTCCCAACCGCACTGGCCCCAAGTGCAGGCCACCACCAACAGGGAAAGCTAAGCCTGGTTATCAGGCCCCTGCCCAGGGCACTGTCTCCCTGCCCAGCGTAGCCCTCTTCTCGGCCGGCTCCTCACCTGTCAGCTCTCTCACCTGTAGCTCTCAGCACTCTGCGTAGGGATTTCTGTCAAGATTCTGAGATGATTCATCCGAAAGATGGCATAAACTGCAAGGCACAGAGGCGAGGGGCAAGGCAGAAGAGGTAGGCAAAATGGCAGAGCCCACCCAGAAAAGATCCCCAGCCCACAGCCCCAGGTGGGCGGGGCAGGCAGCCCATGCCTGGACCATCACCCCATCTGGACCTGGGAGCAGCGTCTTACAAAGAGGCACTCTGCCCAGACCCGCTCCAGGCTCCGCCGGATCTAGGTATGAGCTGGAGCTCAGGGAAACCATCAGAAGCGAGGCCAGCAACCCACCCCACCTCACCCCACTAGTTCCCAGTGAGGAATACAAAGCAACTTGTCCCAGCAGCTTACCTTCGTCTCACCTGCTCTATTCGATCGCGCACAACATCATCTCTCACCTCACTTGGCACTTGGAAGATACGGGTATGGCTGCAACACACCATTCAAAGCCTGGGCTGTTTCCGTTTCTTTGCCACCAGGCATCGCGAGACTGCTGGTGTTGCAGTCGTGCGAAGGGTCAGTTTTGACCCCATTGCATGGACTTTTGAGCTGAGCCTTGACCCTTCTAGTACCAGGAACTCAAGGGTACCCTAACTTCACTGTCAGCTCTGTGTGATCAGCCTTGTGCCATAGTCACTATGGTTCAGAGATCCTTCTAGAAAACTCTGTTACAGAGGCTCTGCAGGCACCTCATCGCTACTGCTGTTTTTACTTCACCCTCTTGGATCTGTCTTCCTCACCACAGTCCCCTCCCTGTCCTTTCCAACTCCACACCCCTCCTGCCTTCACAAACGCTCCACTCTCGTGAATTCAGCCTGCCCACTGGGTCCCCGATTTCTGTGTCTGTGGAAACTGCCTTCTGTGGACGATGCCTTGCTCTAGGTGCGTTCCCTGTAGCTTTGCATGTGAAGACAGAATTGATACTGCCTGTGGGGGGACAGGTGTGCTCAGGGATCTCTCTCAACCAGGAGGAGCTGGATCGGTATTCCAGAGGAGAGAGAGAGATTACCCCAATAGCGGGAGATGAGGGGGGAGGCGAGGGGGGGGAAGGGGAGGCCTCAGAGAGGAAAGGGCCACAGGACTGGGTCCCGGAGGCCAGAACCAGATCGGCTAAGTCCTCAAGGCTCTTGCATCCGTGGGAAGCCCGCCCCAGCTCCTGTTACCTGGGCCCTGCCCAGTTCACGGGTCAGTCCAAGCAAATGTCCTACCGGAAACCTTTTGCGAGGGCCTGGCAGCCATCCTAGGACTGCTGCGACCCGGGTCCCCACACTGTGCTTTAACCTAGCTACGCCACGCAGCTGAGGTTTAAAACTATAGTGGAAAGCGATGTTCCGATTATCTAAGCTGGGAAAGTGCTACATTTAGAGTCCCTCGGTGCAGCCATATCAGGCATGGACACGCCTCCCACACACAAGCTTCCCTGTCTCCTTACTGGGGCTGTGCCCACTTCGGATCTTTTCCCAGTAGAAAAACAGCCCCTAAAACTATAAATGTTGGTGAATTGCAGTCACCAACATTTATGGTTTTAGGGACTTTGGGAAGGTTTTCCAAAAAGCTCTTTCCCAGGGACGTCTCCACCTCCCTTCCCGTTTGTAATTACTGCGCAGTCGGATCCCCATTTCCATTGCTAATGCCACTGGAAGGGGTAAACACCTGAAAATGGATATCCTGAAGCAAAAATAAATTTCTCTGAGAAATAGATCCTCTTGGAGAGAAGAGAGCAAAGCTGGCGGTGGAGTACGAAAAGGAGGAAGAGCATACAGAGATGAGAGAGGGCTCCTTCGCAGTTTAATCCCACAGTTCTTCTCCTGGGAAAAGATCCCAAGTGAGCGCAGCCCCAGAAAGGAAACAGGGAAGCTCCTGCCAACGGAGTGAGCCAGCATCCAGGCCCAGTTCCCTGCCTTGAGGTGGCGACTTCAGTGCCAGGATGGGGAAGGTCTGTCTGGGGCAGGCACAGTGGGAGGCTGGCAAAGCCACCAGACAGGGGGTGGGGGTGGGGCTGCACATAATTCCAGCCTCAGTGCTTGGACACCTCCTCTCACCTCCCTGGCAGATGAGGGCTTCCTTTGGCTTTTGCATGTTAAGAGCTTATGTTCTTACAGCTCTTTAAAGTGCAGCCAATCAAACGCAAAAATCACTGAAGTCTGAGATGTACTCAGAAGCGTTTAGGAGAGGGTGAGCAATCCCCGTGTCCCAACCCCTAACATCATTTTAAAACTTAGGGATGCGCTGGGCTTTCAAGGCGGCTACAATGCTCCCGGAAGACCCCGAGGGAAGGCTGCGAATGTTCTCAGCCAAAGGCAAGGCATCAAGCTCGTGAGGAGAACCGCTGTGGGTCTGTGTTAGCCAGGAGCCCACAGCAGCTGGCGGGATTGTGCCTTCTGTGCTTCTCCCTCCTCACAACGTGGCTCAGAGACAATAAGAGGTGCTTTACCTCCATCTTATGAACTGGATTCTTGTCCTTTCCTCCAGGACATCTTGACTCGGGCTTGTTAACAAATCGCACTTTGAGAGATGGTGCTTCACCTGGGAAAGCCGGGGAGGGTCCACGTGATCGCCGCCCAAGAAGGACCCCATGGCTAGGGTGGAGCCCAGCCTGGACAAGCCCCACCCACTTAGCCCAGATCCTTTGCAATAGGACAGTGATGGCGAACCTATGACAGGCGTGTCAGAGGTGACACGCGAACTCATTTTTGTGGTTGATTTTTCTTTGTTAAATGGCATTTAAATATATAAAATAAATATCAAAAGTATAAGTCTTTTGCCCTGGCTGGTTTGGCTCACTGGATAGAGCGTCGGCCTGGGAGGGGCCCAGGTTCGATTCCGGTCAAGGGCATGTACCTTGGTTTCAGGCACATCCCCAGTGGGGGGTTTGCAGGAGGCAGCTGATCGATGCTTCTCTCTCATCGATGTTTCTAACTCTCTATCCCTCTCCCTTCCTCTCTGTAAAAAATCAATAAAATATATTTTAAAAATATATATGTCTTTGTTTTACTATGGTTGCAAATATCAAAAAAAATTCTATATGTGACACGGCACCAGAGTTAAGTTAGGGTTTTTCAAAATGCTGACACGCCGAGTTCAAAAGGTTCGCCATCACTGCAATAGGACCTCCTGCCTTCCCGCTTCCTCCCTCCCCACGCCCCCAGGATGATGGTCTCCAACTCTTCAGTTACCACATCTCTGGTCACATGGATATCTTCGCCATGGATGGAAGGGCAGTTGCTGGACATCTTCTCCTTTATATCCTGGGCAGCCTCTTCTTCGGTCTGAAAGGTGAGTCATTTCCCCCTCAAAGTGTCACTTGGTATCTGACCCCCCAGTTCTTTCTCTTTGTCCTTTTCTTTTTTTTCTTCCTCTCCATCACAACACACATACCACACAACCACACATACAACCTCTGTGTCTCATGGTGCCTGCAATGAGCTCGCCTATGGCTACCTCCCCGTGGGGTTCCAGGGAAGTCACTCAGTCCTGGGCCTTATCCCAAGGGATTCCCGAGACACCCTGGAGCTGGGGCGACACATCGGAAACCCTGCATCCAGTATACTCGAGAAGGGCTAGTGGTGATTCCAGCACATCTCTTATAAAGACAGAAGCCCCAGCATCCTCTAGGACAGCAGTTCTCAACCTGGGGGTCGCGACCCCTTTGGGGGTCAAACGACCCTTTCACAGGGGTCGCCTAAGACCATCGGAAAACACATATATAATTACGTATTGTTTTCGTGATTCATCACTATGCTTTAATTATGTTCAATTTGTAACCATGAAAATACATCCTGCATATCAGATATTTACATGACGATTCATAACAGTGGCAAAATTACAGTTATGAAATAGCCATGAAAATAATTTTATGGTTGGGGGTCACCACAACATGAGGAACTGTATTAAAGGGTCGCGGCATTAGGAAGGTTGAGAACCACTGCTCTAGGACATCTGGTGTGTTAGACACAGCTCTAAGCAGGGCCAATGAACTTGAGTTTCCCATTCTAAGGAGAGGGAAGTCCAGATCCCTGCACCCACGGAGGCCAGCTCTCTAGAATTTGGTGTACCGTGAATCAGAAAGGGATTTTTACTCACTTTTTTCAACCAGTGCTCTAATACAGACATTGCCTCAGTTTCCACAACTTCGATGTCCTGCAACAAATTGATAAGTTGATGCCCTCCAAACTTATCCAGCCCCTGTCCTCCATTCTTATCCAAACTTATACATTGTAAGGTCTTCTCTCCAGAAGTGCAGCAGGGGGCTCAGAAGGGAGAAGATACAGGAGAAAGGATTCCGCCTGGCTCCCACCAACTTCACTTACCGAACTGGTTTTTGGTGGGAAGGGGCACCCTACACCTTTCCGGGCGAGAATGTACATAATCCATGTGGTAATTATCATCTTTGGACTTAGGCCAGGCCTTCTTCTTGGCTCCCTCCGTCCATTGAAGCAGCCTAAGGACTCTTCTGGAACAAGGAGGTCATTGAAGGGAGGTGCCCACCTGATTGGCTGTCCAATGATGATGTGACAATGCCCTTTATTCTCCAGGGTGAGAGTGGAGATAGAAAAGGGAAATCGTACAGTAACCTACTTTAGTGATGCCATAGCTCAGAAATGGGGATGTGTGTGTCGGGGGGCGGGGGGGAGGAGAAGGGGGAGGGGGAGGTGTAAGCATAAGGTATAGCCAATATATGCCTGAGAAAGACACAAGAGGGAAGTTAAACAAATAATAGATAGAGATTGTGGGGCTTATAGCTGGTCACCCAGTTTTGACAATGCTGAAGGAGAACGATATTTTATGAATCAAAAGAATAAGTTTGTGCCCCTGTCAGTGGATAGAACGTCAGCCTGTGAACTGAAGGGTCCCAGGTTCCATTCCGGTTGAGGGCATGTATCTTGGTTGCAGGCTCAATCTCTGGCCCTGGTCTGGGTGCATGTGGGAGCCAACCAACCAATAGATGTATCTCTCTCACATCGATGTTTCTCTCTCTGTCTCTCTCCTGCTCCCTCCAGTCTCCAAAAAAAAAAAAAAACATCAATGGAAAAAAATCCTCAAATGAGGATTAACCAAAACAATAAAAGCTTTAAAAAAAAAAGACTAAATTTGTAATAAAATGACCCAGGCCCTCTATTCATTCAAACAATGCCACTGGCATTTTTTATTCTTATAGAGAGAGGGGGGAAAAGATAATCCAAACAATAAGAGATATAGCATAAAAAGTGAAAGCACCATTTCTCATAGAAGATATTTCCTGATTATTCAAGTCACCCATGGATGGTGGCCTGCCTAGGTGGAAGGACAATAAAGTAGAAATGAAAAGGGGATTGGGTCATGACTTCAGATTTGGGGGGATGGGGAATTGGAAGGGGCTCAGACAGCTGCTATTCCCATCTAGAACCTTCCCCAAGAAACTGAAGGATGTTTAGAATATCCCAAAGAACACTGGGAGTCACTGAGCCACTGGCTCCTGGGTGTGAAATGTCCAGAGCCAGCCTGTTGGAGACCTGTTTAGACAAAATGGTATCAAACCAAAAAAAAAACTATCTTCGTCACATAATTGAAGAGTCAGCCTCTCTTGTGGTTCTTAATGGTTTCAGATATTGTAAAGAAATCCAGTTAAAAACACGTGCATTCACCCTAGCCAGTTTGGTTCAGTGAATAGAGAGTCAGCCTGTGGACTGAAGGGTCCCTGGTTCCATCCCGGGCAAGAGCATGAGCCTTGGATGCAGGCTCCTCCCCAGCCTGGGCCCTGGTCAGAGCGTGTGCAGGAGGCAACCCATCGATGTGTTTCTCTCACCTCGATATTTCTCTCTGTCTTCCCCTCTCTTCCACTCACTCTAACAATCAATGGGAAAATACCCTCGGGTGAAGATTAAAAAAAAAAATGTGCATTTGACACGGGGATAAGCAAGTCCCCTTCCAGTTTATGCTCAGGTCATCTCCTCAGGGAGGCCCACGCTGAGAGCTCCATGTTCAGCTGCAACTGAGACCCTCCCTCTGCACTTCAGGGGCCCCTCGTCCTGCTCCGTGAGTCCCCAAAGCGCCTGCTGCCGCACTGAATTCTAAGTGATTTTCTTGTGGCGTGAAGTGTTCACTGTCGGTCCCCTCCCACTAGCAGGTGAGCCCTGGAAGAACAAGAACCAGAACCTTGTCCATTTCGTTCACTGGTGGGCCCCAAGTGACTGGGACAGTGGACTGACACACACTAGTGCCCTCCGTACACATTTGCTTAGTGAATGAAGGGTAGCTCCTTACCCGCTAAGCCTCAACTCCTTTCAGAATCACGTTAAGACTGTGACTTCAAAATGGGTTGATGAGGGAGACCTAAGCCAGTGGTGACATTAGACAACATCGGGAAGTACTTCCTGGGTACAAATAAACATTAGAAATACACTTTTTTTTTTTAGCAAATGTTTATTTATAGCAAAATACAAAACATTTCTGAAGCAGACTAATGTTACATGAGAAGCAATTAAATACTAAACTTCTTTTCGTCTGTTTAACTTGCAACACTTTCCAAGCACACCTTCAGGGGCTTACACATCCGCTCATGTGATGCGCCTCATTTTTTTCTTTTCTTTCTGTCTGCTCATGTGTTTGCTTGTTTTATTTTTAACTCGCTATATGAACATGCAGTGTTACTGGCAATGAGTTGGTTAGTAGTCGGCAAGCCTGAAAATACCAGCGAGTGGAGCCGGGCGTGGCCGCCCAAGCCACGGCAGCCCGAGCCACGGCAGCCCAAGCCACGGCAGCCCAAGCCATGCAGCCGAAGACTCATCCTCTCCCTAAGTGAGTTAGAGGCGTCACTCAGTTTTAAACTGGCAGGAGTCTAAGGCCAAAGGACTCACTGTCCTGGGTAACCAGGGAAGGCATTATTGCTTAGGGCCTCAGAGCAGGCGTGGCTCAGGGGTCCTCTCCAATCGGGTCTTCTTTGTTGATCAGGAAGAGGGGGAGGACCACCCGTCAGAGCCCACCTAGAGGGGCAGCAGCTAGAACAGGCCCAGACCCAGGGATGAGAGGTCAGGGGCCACTGTAGGAGGAAGCCCCTTTCCCAGGAAAGCCAGCAAGAGCCTGACAGTCTGTGATTTGGTGGTTGGAGGTGCCTGCCACCTGGACGGGCCCTTTGTAAATGCTTAGAGTTTGTAGACTTTGAGGAAGAAGCACCTAGTGGAGAGTGTAGCTGTTTCCATATACACCTCCATTTCCTGACGGTGAGGACAGGGATGGAGACAAGACACAGGCCTCTGCCGTGACCACCCCACTCCCAGAGTCAACCTGGGCCTCCCTCTCAGGCCCCCAGTGAGAGCATTCACTTTGGCATGTGCACCTGTATGCACACCACACACATGTGTGTACCCATACACACACACACACACGCGCGCGCGCGCGCGCCAGCCCTCACACATGCACACACACAAACACAAATGCCTGGTGTCCTTTCAGAGTCTACTCGGGAAGCAGAATGGTCCCACCTTCACCATCATCCTCTGCTCCAAAGGGTCCCCATGGCCACAGGTCCCCAAGACCCAGCCCCAGGCTTGGCACTCGCTGGCATTCCCAGGCTTTTGAGAAGAAGGTGACAGAGCAGGGAGCTCCCCAGAGACAGGTTATACAGAGTGTAGAACATGTTCATATAAGGCTTTGGTACAGCACCGATTTAATGTTCTTATAGTTTGATTTCTAAGTTGTCTTGTAGAAGAAAAAAAAGCTTACTGAAAAAATAGTGTTTTTATTTACTTTTCAGTTACATACCTGAAGTTCAAATAGTAAGCCTCGAGTTGCCATTCAAGTTCACACTCAAAGGTGTTCTGTGTGCAGCTGTACAATTTGTTGGTTTGTCTTTCATCGTTAACCAAAGTCAGCCAACCAATACCATGAAGTCAGCTGCCCGTGATCACTGACTTTAACCAGTTCATACATACAGAAAAGAGAAAACACAAAAGCCACCCTACCCCACCTCCCTCCCCAAACCCCGGGGTGGGGGTGGGGGGTGGGGGTAAACCAAATAAAAAACAAAATACAGCAAAGTTTAAGGAACCAGTGGGACAGAGGAGGTTCAGTCCAGCTGGCCTCTTCAAGAACAGCACCATAAAGCACCCTAGCGCAGTTATGTTGTAATACTCGACATTCAAGAAATGGAAACGAGGCTGAAGGGTCTTCCGAAGACCTGGCATGGATGGAGGCTGACCCCCAAAGGAAGCTGAAGGAGGAAATAAAAGAGTCCGAAATGGAAGCCAGAACTCCCAGGACGAAACTGATAAGTCGTATCCAGACTCATTAGAAAAGAACGAATGCAAGAGGCATCTAGAGGTATGGACTCTTTAAGAGATCTGGAGGAGGAAGCCTCAGAAGCCGCTCCCCACCCACACTGCCTAGTCACCCCCCTCTGCATGTCCACAGAGCGCGGGGGGTGAAATGGGGGAGCGCAATGCCGACGAAATTGCCTCCAGCTGTGCAATGGAAGAGTTCGATCCAGGATGATAAATTTCTCCCGGGACAAGAGGAAACGTTGAAGATAAAAGGAACCAGACGTCACTGGCAGGAAACAGGATGTGGTCCCTTCCAGTCGGTGGCTATGGAGAAGGAGTGCCTGGAGAAAGCACATCCCGTCCGTGCCCTCCATCTCGGGCCCCACAGATGGTAGTTCGGAAATGAAATCCCACGAGACGTTACGATTTTTCGAGATTGATGTATACGACTTGGTAAATGGAGCTTTAAACTGCTATTCTCTACTAAACCAACCACTCCCCTGGTAACACTTCAGTCTAAAGTTCCAGCAATGGAGATCATTACATAACGTACCCCCTCTCCCAGGCCCTGGGCACTATACACAGAAGACATCCCTCACTCCAATATCATGGCCAAGCTCTCATGGACAACTGCGCTGTGTAGACCTCCTCTTCTCCTTCGTCCTATTATACTGTCCACAGTGGCTCAGCCTAACACCGACAGCAAACAGAAGTGAAGCGACCCAGCAAAAAGCCAAAGTGCAATGAACAAACCCCTCTTCCCCAAGCTTTTGGTAGATGTACTGATAAAGGAGAGAAGGCTGGGGCCCACACTGATCCTTGGGTGAGCAATTCCCAGGGGGTCTGTCCGCTCCCAATGCTCATTCCATACAGCAGACAGAGGTTGCCAAATTGAAACAATTCCCTACATGGGAGCCAGGGAATACAGCTCGGGCATATGGGACAGCTCATGTTCCTGGAAGAGACTGTGCATCTCAAAAGCTTGATCAGAGCACCCATTCCACTAACCTGTCCATTAACTGAGAGGTTCAAAGACAGGAAGTTTTGTTGACTTCGTATCCCATCAGATCTCAATCCATTTATGCCTTTAGGAAAGACTGGCTCTTCAGAGAAATTGAAGCTCTTTGCTGGGCTATCTATCTTTCCTCTCC